ATCAAGTCATGAAATATTAAGAGTAGAAAAATCATTTTACTATAAACACGCAACTTGAATTGAAGTATCGAACTAAATAAAAAATTGTTTACTAAGAACTCATTAAAAAAGATAAACATAAACAGCTAAATAAAAAAAATTACATTTTTAAAGGTTAAAAACTTAATTAAGCCTAATAATTTACATGTGATGAGAATAAAAGTTGTTCAATGATCATAACTCATATGTCAGGTAAAATCCATTGGAAAATAAATGTTGTATATATATTGACCTACAGCTAATCGTCTTGGCTATCATATTCAAAAGAGATCAACTCTGCCCGGTTGAGATGGGGCAGGTTTCAACAATGATGGTGGGAATTGAATTAGTCATCCATTAATGAACACTGAAAATAGCTTTTTTCTAAAGTAGAACCTTGAATGAAAATTTCAACCCAAGTGTGTGATTCAAGACTAAAGAACCAACTAAAACGACCACAAATCAATATGCATTGCCCACTGTAACCAGCAAAAACAGGGCAATCCATAAATTAATAGTCTAGTGCCATAATTCAAGAAGCTAAAGATGGCACACGGGTAAGGAACATAATAGAAAAAAAAAACCCTTAATTTTTGGATGTTTAATATGAAACTATGTTAGATGACTTATATATGCATTTAATTAACAGCCTAATTAATCAAATGCACCCTTTACCACTTTCTATTCAAACTTTTATTTACAATATTTCTTAACAAAAATTTTGCCTAATCTCTATTCTAACAATTTCTCCATAGAATCAATCAATTATTCCATACCAAGTACTTTTAAGAGTAGCTTAGGAACTAATTACAACTAAATAATAGCATCCCTTTCATGACAAAATCTCCTGATTAACAAGAAAATAATTGTGTTCGTATTTTTTGATTCATTGGACTCTTTAATTGAGGTACTCAGCAAGCATCATCTCACAGGAAACACAAATAGGATTGTAATTAAGTCTAAAGTATCAAATTATTTAATGTTGTTTTTCCCATGGAGTTGGACTCAATTCGAATTACATTTCTAATATACACAAATTAAATTCTTATAATTCCATAGCCTCATTTCCATTTCAAAATTTAATTATTTTTTAAGCGCAATTCCATGAACCAAACAATACCTAAATGAAGTTTAAATAGCAAAGAATTATAACTAATAAAATGATGGAAATGTATGTAATTATATATAGTGAGTAATCAATTTGTCCGTTTATTTTTTCATTGACTATACAACGGGTTGAAAACTGGAGTTGACCGCAAGTAGCAACTTTGAACATTTTCATTAATGGGTAGAACTAAATTAAAGTGAGAAAATAGAAGTACATTGGGTAATAAAATTACATAGATAACAATAAAAGGCACCAAATTTGAAAGTCTTCGATCGATCTCTTTGATTTCATGGTGTGTAATCATCACATAACAGAGCAATTACTACCATATGGATCATAAACAACGGGTTGGCAATAGGTAGAAGGAACACAAGGTGGAGGACAGTACGGAGGATAATAATAACACACTTCCTTGTCTTCAAATTTTAATTTTTTTTCATCCTTTTTCTTCAGTTCTTGCACACTCAAAAGGGTCACACACCGAAACTTCTTCCTAAGCACCCTAGCCAAGCACACTGCATCCACATCTCCACTCACCACCAATTTGTCTTTACTTTCCCCTTCCAATGCCACTGAAGTCACACCTGCATGCATGCTTCCATGTTTCATACACCATCACAAGCTAATTAATAATTAAGAACCATTAGCTCCATTACTGTATATGTTAGCCTCTTATAGTAACTTCAACTTTAGAGTCAGATTTAAATATTTATCAGCAATAAATTTTTATTAAAATAAATTTGTTATTACATTAAAAATATCAAGTATAATAAAAAAAATTGTTTAATGAAATCTTGTCACTATTAGTTATTTAGACTCAATTTTAAAGATTAAAATTAACAATTTCTTAAATATATATTCTATGTGTGTGTGTGGTGCACCTATTTCCTGAGCAGCAATCTTGAGGGCCTTGCTTCTGCATTTGTCACAATCCAGTTGCATCTGAATGACAATTTTTTGCTGCAGAAATAGATAGTTTTATATTATATATTTATCACTCCATGCATATATGATGTACAATTACAAAACACAAACTGTGAATTATGATTGCGCGCAATGCAATTAATAAATTGTATATTTGACACGAGATCTCACCTTCATGTTTCGACAACTTGATACAAATGGCTGCTTAATGTGTTGTGTTTTATGAGAACTTTAATGTCGAGTGTTTAATTATCTTTGCCTCTATATATAGGGATTCTAGTGTATTCCTTATTTTAAGTTTTTTTTTTCTTAACGCTATTTCTGTGCACTGATTATTGACCCACTGTGAACCTATGCCCAACATTAGAAGCAACTGAATAAACAAGGACATAGTAGTGTGTCAGCTTTGGGTTTAAATATATAAATAGAACTACATCAGCTGAAATGGTAAACTATTAGGTTTAAATATATAAATGAAATATTGTTTTCACCATCTAAATAAAGGTTTTAGGGAAATTTAATCTGGGGGTATGTCTCTTTTAATTAAATAACGCTAATCAGTGGGCTGTTAATAAAAATGTGTCGAATTTTCCAACGGAAGATGGTGGAGCAAAGAAAGTCAAGTTAGTTTTATTTACACCAAAAGCTCAATATCTTTCTTGAAATTTTCAATTAATCAATATTCAAGCAAAATTCATTAAAATTTATTGATGTTATCTACACTGAATTTGACATTCAGTTAACAATATATTAAATATACACTGAAAACAGGATATTTTTAATTATTTAATCTACATATCTGACCTGGTCAAATAATAACTAAGCTATTATTAAGTAACTTTATTGGCATAAAGAAGGTATATGCAAAATAATATATCCACATGCCAAAGTGCTCCGGACTGTAACAAAAACCGTGCTGAAGGCAAAAGAAAGAAAAAAATATTGCCATTTTAATGGACAATGTTTTGAACTGTAATAATCCAAGGTATTATCTATTTAATAACAATTTGTCAAGACAACGTTAAAAAATTGTGTTATCTTGGGAGTTAACGCGAATAATTTTCAGATTGCACTATGACTACGGTTATTATTATTATTATTATTATTATTATTATTTGAAGTAGATCAAAGGGGCTATAAACCCAAGGGAAGAAGATAAAATTACATCATAGATGTCATTCAAGGGAAAGCAGTTCCACTAAAATAAGCAAAAACTAGTTCAGCGCAATCTCTGTCGGAAGAACATATATCAGCTGTTCCATATTAGGTTGTATTATGACTATGGTTTTTAACTGCTGCTTACGTTGAGAATTCATTGGTAAGGAGTAAAAATGTGAATCTGTTTAATTTTGTTTTGGGTTACATATATGTAGAGCTGTTTAACGAATTCAATTATAATGATTTTCCAACTTTGGCAACAGTTTTGGTATTAAGAATAAATAACATAGTTTAATTCGACAAGGATTTTGCTATACAGAGAGAGATCGTGACACACATTTAACTTCCAAGTGATTTTATCTCAACATATATAAATTTAAGGTTTTAATCTATAAGACTATATACGACTTAAACTTTATATATCTAAATCAGCTGGCTAGGGTTGGTGAGAATGATTAAAAATCATATGGAAAAAAATTAAAAAGAAAACCCAAAGATTAGCAGAAAAGATAGTGAGATTCATTGGCTTCAAAGTTCAATCTACAACTTTTTGCGAATTGTCTTCTGGTTTCCAATTTGGATTCCTTCCTGAGACGACTTTTTATGTCCTGGGTCAAAGGAGATAAAATAGAGTAACGTGATGTGACCCACTTTTGTGTGATTTGCATAAAAATTGATAGTGTGAATATGATTCAACTATATGTTTCAAATTAAATAACATTATTAATCACATGCAGTTGACATGGTTTATATAATTATTGAAAATAAAATATTACATGTCCCATAGGCTCACTTAGTCTTTGGTCCCTCGTAATGAGACTAGAGATGTTACGTACCAACCGCTAAAACCAAAACCATAATAGTGATAATATAAATCATCAGTTGCATTTGAATTAGAGTTAATTTCTGTACATAATACCCTATGATTGTTATTATTGATAAAAGAATTGAATTATACAATTGTTTTTTGATAAAATGATTAACGAATAAAAAAGATTAACGTAGTTTAGAGAAATTTTCAAAACATTTGATACGTTTATATATAGAAAATAGATTAATAATTTAATTTTTTTAATTTCAAAGAGTTCACTTATCATATTTTTTTTAAACCAAAACTGAAGAGCCGAAAATTGATAGTCTCAGTAATCTTTTCTTTTTATCCATTTTAAGATGGGTATATTTGAACTGACTCGATCTTCATTAGCTGACGTTTACGTCTATGAATAAACAAATTGTTTTGGATATATCAGCATCTTAATCCATAAACTACCTATATCTTCTAAATCTGACTTTCACATGGCCCAAATGATTGATAAATCGACGTTAAATATTTTTTTTTGGTTACTTTAAAATGATTAAAATAATTCATAAGATTGTAATTTTCATTCTTTAAATTTATTTTAGGTCTCAGTTTTTTTATCTGTCGAACAATATTAATAACATATACTTTTGAATATATTTTTTAATATACTTTTTAGGATTAATTAATTTTCTAGATTAAAATATTTAACTTGTAAATTGACTTTAGTAAAGTCCTAGGAAAATGAATAAACATATTGATCCCTGAAAAGATGCTTAAAAAGGACATGCTCAAGTCTTCTATCTTTGCGCAGCCTATCAATAGCATTAATAAAAAGATAATCGTCATCACAACTATCTAAACTACCTAAACCATGGAATATATTAAAGTTGTGATAAGAGAAGTGTAAGTAAGCATATCCGGAGCTATATGTTTGCGATGCATATCTTCGAAGAGACTCACGGCTTCGTACACATTTTGAGTATTCACATTTCAAGTTCTGCACAAACCATCAATGAGAGAATTGTAAGTTACTGTAGTTGGAACTATATTGTTGCGTCTCATTTGTTTGAACAGAGTCATGGCTTCAAATGCCTCTCCAGTCTTGCATAATCCATTAATCAATATGTTATAGCTTCGTACATAAGGTGTTACACTACTTCGGATCATCGAGTTGAGTACATGTCTTCCATTATTTACTTCGTTGACAAGGCAATAGCCACCCATTAAAGTATTATAAGTAACAACATCTGGTTTCAGACCTCTTCTTACCATCACTGCCAACACATTTTTAGCTTCTCTCACTCTTCCATCCTTACACGGGACATCCATCAACATGTTAAAGGTATAAACATCTGGGTTGATGCTTTTCAATACCATTTCATTGAACAGAACCATTGCTTCCTTCACTTGACCCAAACGACAAAAGCCGTGAATAACACTGTTGTAGATGACAGTCGGGATGAATTCCCTTGGTAACCATTTCACAGACAAAATCACATGCCTCGTACAAAAGTTTATCTTTGCATAGGCTATTAATTGGCCTGTACATTACCGCTCTAGGCTGAATCAGGTGCCATTCAACATGTCTCAGCAGCTGAATGGCAAATCTTGTTTCTCCCACTTTACATAATCCATGAATCAACGTAGCTAACATGATCCATCTGAAATCCTTGCACTGCCATCTTGTCACGAAGATGCAGGGCTTTTTCTACATTACATTTTTTCTACATTCCTAGTAAGAAAGAGACCATTCACGAGTGTGGTCAAGACTATGGCGTCGAGGAGATAACCCAGTCTGAAGATCTTGACCAATACCGAAAGAGCTAAGGTCCTATGACGAACTTGGCAAACTTGGCAGCAGCAATTGAAGAGGACAGAGAAAGTAACAAGATTTGGTAGAATTCCCACGTATTACAATTTTGGGAAGAGCAGAACAACAGTTTCGAAACGCTTGTCTCTAGCAAGGGACCCCAAAATCTTGTTAAATTGAGTGATGGGCGGGCAAGGTGGCACATTGAGCATGCGATTGAATGAGACTACAGCCGGATCAACATCGTGAATAAAGGGGGAAGGATGCATGCGATTGAATGAGGCAACAGCCTCATGAACAATGGGAATAAATGGGGGAGGAGGATTGAATGAGGCAACAGAGTCATGAACACCGTGAATCAATGGGGGCGAAGAGTGAGTGTGAAGCTTTGCAGAGTAAGAACGTGGGAAGAGCACATACCTTACCCTTGTGAATGACATCTTCTCCCAAAATTGAAATAGGTTTAGAGTTTTAGAGGTTTCAGTGAATTGATGGATGAACGAATTGCTTGTACTAAGCCCAGTAATAGGGCTTAAAAAGTTGTGTGGATAAGGAAGCTTATGGGCCAAAAGTTATGTGAGTTAGGGTTAAAGTCTGCGCCTTATGGTCTACAATTTGTCTGTTCTTAAAAAAATATAGATTTGAGAAAATATAATACGGATAACTCTGATTATTAGAGTATTTATTAAGAATATTTATTTGATATAATATTTTTTATTATAAATTTTTACACTAATAAATTTTTTTTAAAAATATAAAATAAATTTTGAATAATACTAAGAGGATGTATTACTTTAGGATTTTATAGAATTTTAAAATTTTTTTAAGTAAAAAAGTCTATTGGTATTTAATCAAAATTTTATGTCACTTAAAAAAAATCTAATGGTATTTAATTTGAATTTGTACAGGATGATAGTATTGTTTTTAATTATATAAGTACTTATTAGGTGAGATATAAATTTAATAAGTATTTTTATCTATGATTATTTATATAACTATATTCCAACATATTATTATTATTATTATTTATTTATTTATTGGATATAAATTTAATAATTATCATTATTATTATCATCGTCATTATTATTATTATTATTATTATTATTATTATTATTATATTACATATGTAATTAAGTAAATATTTCTTGATGTATTGTGGATTTTCTATACGCTAATTTTCTAATTAAGATGTAAGATATCATCTACAAGATTTTACAGGTCAGGGTAATAACACTGAAAATGAGAAAAAAAATTTTAATCTTCGTGTCATACGTATTTAAGGAATGTGATCGATAAAATATTTGGTATTTTTAAGTTAAGGTTCATAATTTTTAAGTTGACACTCTATTTTTATTTAAGACACAAGTATAATTTATGTTAACATATGCAGCACTACATAACTTTCTTCGTAAAGAATGTCATTTTAATAAATTTTCAATTGAACCGATGGAAACCTTCATCTTCAACATTATCGTTTATTAAAAATTATAATTTTGAACCTATTATTCAAATCCGGAAGCAAGAGAGAAAAGACAATAATGCTTGAAGGACTAGTATAACTATGAATATGTAGGTGAATGTTATTTAGAAAGATATGATATTATAGAAAATTATTATTATTATTATTTATTTAGTCATTGTTATTTTTTATTATTTTTGTCTTTCACTCTTTTTAAATTTAAATGTATAAAAATCTTGAACTCTTTATGTAAAAATTCACAAAATTCTACAAAGTTCTGCAAAATCCATTAAAATCCTGAGTTAAAAGTCTTGCAAAATCTATTAAAATTTTAATTTTAAAGTTTTGCAGAATCCTGCAAAATTTTAAAAATTATAAAAATCTCAAAAATCTTTTACAATCCGCAGAACTTTCTTCAACTAAAAAAATCTTTTTAAAATCCTAATCTAATTTACCCCCTAAATATTTATAATGATTGTTGTTATTAAATAATATTAATAAAAATATAATTATTTATTATCAAATTTTCATTCTTTAAATTTATTTTAGGTCTCAATTTTTTATCTGTCGAACAATATTAATAACATATACTTTTGAATATATTTTTTAATATACATTTTAGGATTAAGTAATTTTTTAGATTAAAATATTTAACTTGTAAATTGACTATCTTTTGTAATTTAATTTAATTTTTTAAGAAATTGATCAATCACAAAAGATATATTAATAAAAACTGTTAAAAAGTATATTATTACTTGTATTATACAAAACATATACTAAATAATATTATACTTAACTGCGAACAACTGTGATCTGTAGTTTCTATTACAGAATTCATCATCAATAATTACAGTTAGTTTATTTTATTACTTGTATTAAAGAGTTTACAGAACCTGTTATGATAAAGATGTAAATGTGATTATTTTTTTGATGAGTGCTTTCCCAATTATAACAAAAAGAAAGATCTTTTTCTCTTAGCGCTGACAGAAATAAAAAAACCCAATTAATTTTGAATATTAGATAAAAACATTTACCTTCGTGGTACATTTGTAGGAAATAGTTATATCCAATACCCAAAATTATTAAATACAGATTGAAGATAGTTGGAACACAAATAGGTAAATGGTTATATCAAATATCCAAAATTAAGGAAAGATTATTCAGGAGCGTGTTGAACAACACGTGCTTTCAAGATGTATATTATCTGTGTTACCTTTGCTCATATCTCAAAGAAACTAAGCAACTAGTCACTGCAGAATGACCAAATGTTCTTAATTATAAATTAACAATAACTGGAGTTAAAATTTTGGTACCAATAGAGATTGAAATAACTTCCACGCACAGCATATCCTTTATGAAATAGTTTAATAATAATAAAGTTAAATGGTTGAAACTAACTTAAATTTAAATTATTACACTAATTAATAAGTTTTATTCTTCATTTTATTTTAAAAAAGATAACTTATCATTACAAATTTAAAACTTTAAATCTCTTCTATCTAAATATATTTTATATGAAAAATATATGACTTAGAATCTATTATACTCTAATTAAAGTGAGGGTGAACATGGTGAAGCCATTGAAAAGAGAAGAGAATTTAAGAAAGATTGTTAATAATTAATTGAGTTTTGAGAATAAGAAGTTAAAAGAAAAAAAAACTCCCACCTCCATTAAAATTTATGCAAAAAAAGAAGAATGAAGATAATGGAATTAGAGGTGAAGGTGAAAGGGGTGGATGAATCACAAAATTAAGATACAAACCAAAAGTCTATCCTAAATTTATAAAAATACTTTTGACTCAAATTTGTAAATTAATTTTTATGTATAAAATTTTGTAAATTAATTTTTACAAATAAAAAAATTTATAAATCAGTTTTCATACTACATTTATTCTCAATTTAGTTTTTATTTATTTAATTTTATTTACTCTAAACTAAATGACAGTAATTAAATTGAAAATAAATGTATGTATAATTTTATACATGTAGTGACTAACTAACAAAACATTACTTAAGCCTAAATTAAATATTATTTATGTTAACTCTTGCTCATGTTCTTAGAAACTAAGTATAACAAATCATTACCTAAGGCTAAGAATGATCAAACTCGTTATATATAAATTAACCCGTTACATAGACTTTAGTAACAATATCTGTTTAGTAGAGTTGAAATTTTGATTCCATATATATATATATATATATATATATATATATATATATATCAATGATTGTGCTGTAACAAACTGAACAATTAAGAATAAGCATATTAAATCAAAGTAACGTGACAGTGAGCTCATCACATAGTACTTGAAAATATGAAATTATAAAATTGGTGGTAGTTATCAAAATTCAAAATAATATGAACCTAGAAAGCATCTAAGACTTTATCCTTACAAGAGCCGCTAGCAACAATTTCAGGTAGAAGTTTCTCTGCCTTATTATCTTCATCCTTTTCTTCTAAAAGAGGACAAAGAATTTACAAGCAATCAATGTCTTCCACTTCAATATCCCAAGGCTCTGCCACGCAAAGTCCTAGGAAAATGAATAAACATAATGATAACTGAAAAGATCCTTAAAAAGCACATGCTTAAGTCTTCTATCTTTGCGCAGCCTATCAACAGCATTAATAAAAAGATAATCGTGACCACAACTATTTAAACAACTATCTAAATCATATTTAACTTACATGCTCATGCTCTTCGAATAAATAAGCTGGTGATAAATAAGCTCCCGGATATAAAAATAATTCTGGGTCTTCCATTCTTTACTTCGTCAACTGGGCAATAGCCAACTATTAAAGTACCAGACCTCTTATTACCATCACAGCCAAAGCAGTTTTAGCTTCTCTCACTTTTCCATACTTAGACAGGACATCCATCAACACGACTAAAGTATAAACTTTTGGGTTGATGCTTTTCAATAGCATTTCATTGAACAAACCCACTGCTTCCTGTACTTGATCCAAACGACAAAAGCCGTGAATAATACTGTGGTAGATCTCACAGTTGGGTTGAATTCCCCTGGTAACCATTTCAGAGACACAATCACATGCCTCGTACAAAAGTTCATCTTCGCATAGCCTTTTAATGCTTTCCCTGTACATTATGTATGCTTCCACGCTGGGCTGAATCAGGTGCCCTTCAGCATGTCTCAGCAGTTGAATGGCAAATCCTGCTTCTCCCACTTCACATAATCCATAAATCAAAATCCAGTACCTAATCTGATCCATCTGAAATTCCTGCGCTGCCATCTTGTCACGAAGATACATGGCTTCTTCTGCATTACGAGTAAGGAAGAGACCATTCAAGAGTGTGGTCAAGACTATGGTGCTGGGGAGATAACCCAGTCTGAAGATCTTGGCCAATACCGAAAGAGCTAAGGTCCTGTGACGAACTTGGCAGCAGCAATTGATGAGAACACACAAAGAAACAAGATTTGGTAGAATTCCCACGTATTGCAATTTTGGGAAGAGCAGAATAACAGTTTCGAAACGCTTGTCCCTAGCAAGGGACCCCAAAATCTTGTTAAATTGAGTGATGGGTGGGCAAGGTCGCACATTGAGCATGCGATTGAATGAGGCTACAGCCGGATCAACATCGTGAATAAAGGGGGAAGGACGCATGCTATTGAATGAGGCAACAGCATCGTGAACAACGGGAATAACTGGGGGAAGAGGATTGAATGAGGCAACAGAGTCATGAACACCGTGAATCAACGGCAGCGAAGAGTGAGTGTGAAGCTTTGCAGAGTAAGAACGAGGGAAGAGAGCATGCCTTAACCTTGTGAATGACATCTTGTTTCAGAGTTTCTGTGGATTGATGGATGAACGAATTGTGTGTACTTTTTACTGTATATCCGCCGCTGCTCCTCTCTGTTTCAGGAACACAGAAAAAATAGGTATAGACTTTTCAAGTTATCTATTTATCTACAGATATTGATATTTTAAGTTTAATTAAGTTAAATTATATGCTTAGTTTTTAATTTTTTTTATATGATTTATTATTAAAATAATTTTTATGAAATGAATAAATTATTATTTAATGATTAAAACAAATTATATAATAAGTATTTAATAATATTTGGATGTGCAAATAGATTCTCAATTTTTCCTAATCATTCAACGAGAGGATTCGTATTTGAGAGTTTGGATTTAAGTATATTATTTGTAAAATTGACACGCTAGAAATAATTTAAATTTCAAAGTAATCTTCGCATCTTTGTAGATATTAAATAATATATTTCTTTAATCAGGTTAACAATATATTTTATAATTAATTATACAGTAAAACTTTGATGTTAAATTGTTTCTAGCTGACTTTTATAAGAATAAGTCTTTTTAATTTCACATTATTTTGAATTTTGATAATGACTAACTGTTTAGATAGTTTCAAATATTATGTAATGAGCTCATTATCACATTATTTTGATTAAAAATTATATAGAAACTTTGATTTTTTTTTCAGTTGTTACAATGACAATCATCTTAGTATTTAAATTGATCCAAATCATCTTTAAAATCAGTCACAAAATTGAACTTAAAATTGGTCACAACAATTTATTTCTAAATTAGTAACTAAAATTGATTTTAAGTAAATATCAATACTAAATCAGTATTCAAATTCAATTTCTAATTTAATTTTTAAAATTAGTTATTAATTTTGTCTCTAAATTTAATCACTATTTCAATTTTTAAATTATCAATCGCTAAATTAATCGTTAATCATTAGTTACCATATGTCGTGACTCAACAAAATCTGTCAATAAATCGATTTGTCAACAAATCAATCATATTTAATGACTTAACATAATCTGTCAAAAAATTGATTATTAATAAATTTAGTGACCAAAATTTTTATCTCAATTACTAAAAAATCAATTATAGATGACTATTTTTTTTAGTGATTTCTTTTATTTTATCTTTCAACTTTTTTAAAATTTTAAAAATATTTAAATATTTAAAGTAGATATGAGATACATGATCGATGAAGTTAATTAATACTAACAAATAAGAAATCATAACAAACAAACTATGGAAAACGGTTGAAGGTTTCTCAGTTAACTGATTATCACAAATTTTACTTCATTTTTTCCAAATTGAAGTCAAAACCAATCGTCATCGATAAAAAATGGGACGATGTGCAGTATTGAGGTCTGTTATTTACTGAAAAGAAAATAATGATCTCACCCTCCATTTCTTTTGTGTTACATAGATTATAATAATAATAATAAATAATAACATTTTATTAACTTTAGTTGTTAAGACTGTATCTAAGTATTTATAATTAAAAAAATTTATAAAAAAATATAATTATTATATTAAAATTATAAAAATATAATAAATAATTTTTTAATAAAATTTTATTATTATTAACTGCTTATAATATTTTTTTTTTCTGCTAATTATGCACATTTGTTTTCTCAGCACGCTTACATCATTTGTATCGAAAGTTGAAAAGAAATTTTTTATTAAGGAGAATATTGTAGAGGATAAGGTCCAATTTAATGTTTAATGAACAGGTATGGACACTGGACAGTGACACCGAAGTAATGTATGGTCTAATTTTTCGGATTGTTCTTTCTTAAAACTAAGCTTCTTCAATTAGTTTTTATAAAATTAATTATTCATGTTTGGCTGTATTTTTGTTTTGTTATTATGATTAAAGTTCATTTAAATTCTTTATACACGTTAACACATGTATTAAAAAAGCACTCATATGATAAGATTATCCAATTGTCAATAATATCACTAGGATGTAAACATGTCAGGTGAGTCCAGGCTTTACTCTAAACAGGCCTGGCCTGTAACATAATTATTAGGCCTGAACCTAATCTGTTACCTGTTAAAGGCTTTATTTTATGCTTGGTCTGGCCTGAAACCTGTTAACAAAAAATTAATATTAATAAAAATATAAATATTTTATTATTAAATTAGTTTATACATTTTTCTAATTTCTATCTATATTCTTAATAATTATTAAATAATTATAATAATATTTATATAATTTTATAAATAATTTTTAAAATATTATTTAAGTATTAATTATAAATATTTTATAATAATAAAATTTATATTTATATTTTTTTAAATTATATAAATAGTAAATATTTTAGTTTTATTTTAGAAATATATTTTGTTTATTTAAAGACATCTTATATTCAACAAATAAAGTTATAGTAAATACATAAAATTGATAAAAAAAATAATAACATTCAAACAATTTGTTGAATCAATTAAAATAAAATTATATGTTTTAAAAAAAATAAATTTAAACTTACTGCATAATATATATATATATATATATATATATATATATATATAATGACAATAACAATAACTATTAAATTAAAAAAACAATTACAAAAAATAACACTTATAAAATTTATTGAATCAGCTAAAAAAATTATTATATTTTAAAAAGTAAATAAATATCGTCATTATAAAAATTGTAGATATATTATAAAATTCATAGATGTAGAAAAATAACATATGAGCATAGGAAGAATTATTAAAATTTATATTTAAATTAAAATAACTTATATTTCTAAATTTTTCTCTTAATTAAAAAATATGTGATAAAACTTAATATAAAAATTTAAACTTAATGTACTATATATATATATATATATATATAATGAAAACAATAATAACTATTAATTAAAAATAATTACAAAATATTTAATTTTATTTGTCTCATTAATTTGTTATTTTAAATTAACAAATAAATGTAAAATTAACTATACTATAATATTAATGTAATATAGAAAATATTATTGATACAATAAATTAAAACACATACTTATAAATTACATATAAATTGATAAATTGACTAATAATTTAATTAAAACATGTGCAAGTTATAAAAATATATATTATTATATAATTTATTTATAATTATATTATTTATAATATTTGCTACATGGTCTGATTATATATATATATATATATATATATATATATATATATTATAATAAGTTTTTATTTTATTTTGTTATCATTTTTTTAATAAATTTTTACTTTCAAATAAAATATAATTCAGATTTAAGCAATCTCTATTTATTATAAATAAAAAAAATTATAACATAATATATTAATATAATAATTAAATAATTAAATTAATAATAATAAAATTAAGAGTATAAAAATATGTTAATATAATTTTATTATTTTATTTTTAAATTTTATTTCATTTAGTTTTGATTACGTCTTATTCTTATTCAAAGACTTAACTATTTTTTAAATTGTTTAAATATAATAATTTATTATTAAATAAATTTATTATTTAAAAAGTGTAATCATGTATAAATATTTTTAATTTTTAATATAATATAATTTCTGTTTATTATAATTATAAATAAATAAAATTATAACATAATATATTAATTTCATAATAACAGAACTAAGAATATAAAAATATATTATTAAATAACTTTATTATTTAAATATATTTTGATAGCTCTATTTTTAAATTATAATATATATATATATATATATATATATATATATATTTATTTATACAGGTCGGCCTGTCAGGCTTTATAAACAGCTCAGGCTTGACTTGTTTACTTAAACAGGCCTTAAAAAAGGTCTGAGCCTGATTTGTTTATTAAAAAGGTCAGGTCAGGCCTAAATCAGGCCAGACTACAGGCCCATGTCAGGCGGTCTGACCTATTTTCATCCCTAAATATCACACACAAATAAAATTAAGATTATCAAAATTTCAACGTCAAGTTTACAAATGCTCATTTATGTATACATACTAATTAGCCATTGACGTTTTGACGATGAATCAATTATTTTAAAAGCTTAAGTTATTGATTTTTAAATCTAATTTTCCAGTTATTTTGAAAGCTTAAGTTATAAGTTCTTAAAATCGATGGTACCAGTTAGGCCTAGGCAAGTATTTAGTTTCTTGCTCTTTCCTTCTTTTTTTTTTTATAACTATTACAATCCACAAATTTTTTAAATTGATGTTCTTGATTAAACCCTCACTTTAATCATGAGAGAATTTGAGTCTAACATTTTAGTCCTTAAGACATTTAAAATATTACGTTAGTCTTTAACTTCCTTTTCTGTCATTCATTTTAATCCCTGACGTCATATTTCGTTTAGAAACCGTGACAAAGGATTGAGTTATCACGTTAAGTACTACGTCAGAATTTCACTTGGCAGAAACGACATCGTTTTTAAAATTTGTCTGGCACCTCTAATAGTGAAACAATGTCGTTATGATCATAGGACCTAACTCAATAACCTTACCCCAAACATGAATCTCACCTTCCTAACCAATTGTTGTCTTCCCTTCTGGTATTGTGGCAAGATTTGCTAAAACAGCCACTACCTTATCAACCATTCCAGCTGCAAGGTCCATTAACTTTACAAGATGCTTCACAGCACCGACTTGCATGATCCAATCCTTGTTTTCATGAAATATTGACAAATTAAACATCTTTCTTCCTCCTAGGGGTTCCATTCCCTAATAAATCAACTAGTAGTCTAATTGCCTCAAACCTCCCTATCCTAATTTTGTTTTTCTTAATAACCAATAAGCTGAAAAGTGTGATAGTTGAGTTCTCCTTAGCTTCTGGACTCCATGTCTTAAGTACATGAATCAAAGGTTCAATAGTCCAATATTTACAATTGCAATTTTGGTGTTATCATTTATTGATAAGTTAAGGAGTGTTTTAACAGAATTTTTCTGGATTATAGTATCAATTGATTGAAGTAAATCAACTAATAAGCTAATGACACCAAAATTTGAAACTACTATTCTGTTATCTATATTGTGCTTAGCAAGAAGGCAGAGTTCTTTTGCTGCATCTCTCTTAGTATCAAGATAATTGCTCTTTAACTGTTGCACTAATTTTTGAACCTCGGTTTCAGTAGTGGTTCGTCATCCCCAAAACAAAAAAAATGACTCAATAAATTAAGAAAAAATATTTTTACCGAATTCTCTATCTGTTGGTCTTTTTCTATTACAACGAACTTCAATATATAAATATTTCATCCCTAAATACAATGACGGACAAGAATTTGGGCGAGGTTTTGTGTGCACTTAGGATAGGGTTCTTCTTCGACACAAATGAGGAATTATGTCATTAAGTTAGGGCATAAAGGGCTTGGATCACAACGACATCGTTTCACTATTAGAGTTGTCATGACAACTTCCAAAACTGATGTCGTTTCTCCCAGGTGGGATTCTGACGTAATATTTAACGTGACAACTCAGCATTCTGTTATAGTTTCTTAACGGGGTATGACGTCAAGAACTAAAATGAATGACAGAGAAAGAAGTTGTTAGGGACTAACATGATATTTTAAATGTCTCAGAACTAAAATGTTGGACTCAAATTCTCTCAAGGACTAAAGTGAGGGTTTAGTCCCTAGTTCTTATTTCTTATTAGTCTTTATCTGAAATCAAATTACAAAGTATATGCATCAAATTCTTATGTTTTATTGAGCACACCTTATTAACACACAAGTCCACATAGCAAATCGGCATTATGCATGTATGTACATAATAAATATTTATCACGAGATACGTACTTCAAAAGTCAAACAAAATTTATGTGGTTAAATTAAAATAATATTATTATACAATGATTTTTTGTAAAACTTAAATGGTTAAAATTGGTATTTTCAAAAGATGTAATTGATGGATTCACTCTTTCATAAGAATATTGATAAGTTCATATTTTGATATATTTTATGACTTATATTTATACACTTAAATTCTATTTTATATATATATATTTACACTAATTATATTATTAATTATTATAATTTAGCTAGAAGTTGTTATTAGTACATTATGGAGATATTTTGAATAAAAATTAGATATTTTTAGTCATTGGCAGTGCTACGTGAAGTTGAGTTTGAATTTTGAATTTAAAATGTAAACTTAAATATGAAGATTTGGAACAATTCTGATTGTGGATAAAACCGATTTGAAAAGATAAAGCTCAACCGAGTGGAAACTCAGGCCACAGCCTATATAAAGAGGCTTTATGCTCCATACTTGACACTCCCACTTCTACACACCTTCTTCCCCTTCTTAGTTATATCTAAACTCATCTTTGAGAGTTATTGAAAATCATTGGCAAGGACGACAAGCTTTCTCTTAGAGTCCAAGCAAGTGATTGAGTGTCCTTTCAGAGAACGAGAACTTTCTTCGTCTTCTACCTTTATGGGTTTCTTTTATTTGAGTTTTCCTTTGTGGTTATGAGTTTATTTATCACATTCTTCATAGTTTATTTTGTTATGAGTAACTCAACCCATAGTTAGGACTATGACAGATCCTACTACAAACTTTATGTAATTTTTACTTTAATGTTGATATTGATTTTTCTTTAATGTTTGATTTTATTCTATTGGATTATATTATATATATTAAGATTTGATCACCCTTAGCATTCTATAGTTAGTTATATTGTAGGCAATCGTACCACATGTAATTAACGGAACTATAAGATAAACAAGATAAGAGGATAATTTAATCATATTTAATTCATTTCTTTCAGCCGTTATTAAATTAACAAACTCATAGGGTCTTCATGGTTTCTCGACCAATTACCTTGCATAATCAGTGGGGATATTTGTTCCGAAAAAAGAATATTGACATTGCATGATTATTGGGTATTAATAGAACTAACGATGAGTAATTGGCAAATATTTGGATACCAATATCTGGATTAAATTAATTAGAACATAAAGAAGTATAGTAGGTGAACTCATAAGTCCTAATCTTATCTCATCTTATCTCTCTTATACATTATATTATTGTTATTTTAATTTATTGTTAATATTAAACTTTATTTTTTGTTCATTGTAATTCCATTACATTTAAACAATCGAATCAAACTATTTTTAGTATTTAAAAATAATCTTTTTAGTACGATAACTTGAAAATTCTTTTAAAAAATACTTTATTACTTTTATATGGTACATTTGCCTGCGAACAAATATACTAACTTTCAACTAAGGCAATTGTTGGGAAGCTTTATTGTTGCAACAGTGCCCGACGAAATAGTCTAAATACTCTTACTCGTGAACTGTCCAAAAGACAACCAAGAAAAAAAAAATATTAAAATACAACAAAAATATGCAATTCCACCCAACACAAGCCAACAAATTAGTCTAAATTTTAATGCCTTTTTTCGAAAAAACTGTTCGCTTAATTACTTGCAAGTTAATTTAATTTCTTTGTTAGTAAAGTCCGAAATTAATTAGATACGAAAGATGTATAAACTGATCATTTTGTAGCTCAACAAAAAGGAATATCCCAAATCAACCTAAAAAATTTACATAAAACCAAAGCAAATTTATAAACTTGAACAAGTTAACTAAACACAATATTGTGCATATGTAAAACAACAATAATTACCTTGTTCCATCAGATAAAATTAGTTACATAAATTACACGACAAATTAACTTCAGTTAAATACTGAATTTTTTGAAATATTATTTATTGTAAATCTCTTGTCATAATTTTTTCCAAAAATTTTCTTCATCTCTTGGCATCTTTTCAGGAATTAAAAGGGCAGATGTTAGGCATGTGTTTGCAAGGGAAAAATTAAAGTCTGGAGATTACAACAAATATCTTACTGATTACAAACAACTTATTATACCATGGTTCCAAATTGATTGGTATAGGCATAGCAAGCAAGCTAGCTCTCACATAATGGAGCAAGTATTATCAGGGCATGGATCATAAACCACTTGGCAAGGATAAGGGTTACATGGTGGATAATAGGGCACATAGCACTTGGAACAGGTGCACCATGGAGGACACGGACGGAAGCACGGTGAAGGAGGTTTACAACCATGGCACTTGAAACTAAGACAATTATGGCATGGTTTACACTCACCATGGCACTTGGGACTCTCACACTTGACACAACTGACAACACACTTGCCATCACACTTGGAATTTTGGCACTTTGAGCATTTGTCACACTTACCATGGCAAGTGGAAATGTGGCACTTGTTACAAGGCTCACAAGGTGGTGGAGGACACTTCACAGCACAACATTCTTTTTTCTTCTTTTCTTCTTCTTCCTTCTTCTTTTCTGCTTCTTCTTTTTTCTTCTTTTCTTCAGCTGCTTTTTTCAGATCTTCCACACTCAGAATTATGACAGTGCGGAACTTCTTCTTCAGCAAGTTAGCCAAACAAACCATGTCCACATCATCACCCGTCACTGCCACACGATCCTTTTCATCACCTTCTAGTGACACTGCAGTCACACCTGTTGGTTTTGGCCATCACTCAACAATAATTAAAATGCATCAAGAGGATTGCAATTATAATCATTTATTTAATTAAAACCATGAGCAATTGAAATTTTAATGACTTCATAATCATAAGATCGAAATTGTTCATGTTTTATAAATAGTATTTTTGTTATATTATTATCTGATTTCTTGTATTTTAACAATTTTAATAGGTGTTTTTGTAATGGATGTAAAATGTAAAAGGGATTGGTACGTTCACCTGGCACCTCTGCAGCAATTTTCAGAGCTTTGTTTCTGCATTTGTCGCAGTCCATTTGCAACTTGATTATTATTTTTTGCTGTATTAGAAATGTTACACGTGTGTCACATAACTTATGCGTACCTTCATGAGAAATTTATCAAAAAAAAAAAAAAAGAAGGGGGAGAAGAAAGAAAAACCCAAAACATTTTGGTTAGCTTATTTAAGTAAACGGATCAAACCTTCATGTTTGGTTAGTTGAAACAAATGGCTATTTCTTGCTTTTGCAATCTTAGACAAACTCAAAGGGTGTTTTTATGTTGTGCTTTGGAGTTGGGCGATCACATATTTGTTTAAATAATACACAGTGAAGTAATACTCTACGTTGGTTGACTTGACTATGATGACTGACACTGTCATGGGTGTGCTGGCTGAAACAGACGGATCCGCTTTTTATTACGATTGTGCGTTTGTCACTAAATGTTGCGTTTGAATTATGTCAAATCAAGTTGTTTCATGTCTTCTTCCGTAATCAACTTTGATTTGTGCGCCTGTGGTATGTCGTTATTGCTGCCTTTGCATTCAATATATTATTACTTTCTATTAGAAAATGACATTTAAATATAAAATATTTTATTTTAAATTCATTTGCTAACAAAAACTCATTTTATAAAATAAAGTTAATCTAAAATAAGGTTTTTAAATATTCCCCTAATATAGGCTTGACTGTCGGTTCGAAGGTTTCACCAAATGTATATGGAAAGGAAAAGGAAAATCCAACGTTAAATTAACGAAAATTGCGTTAGGTAATATGATTGGTTAAATTAAGTCATAGGTGTGCGTAGTATATCTTGAGTATGCCCATGGAAAAATTTGACACTGATTATTTTTTAAAATATATACTTACTATAAATATATAATTATTGTTATTAATTTGCAGTGTCAGTGTAGTTAAATATATTAATTACGTGCTATATTATATATTACATACTAGTATATTACGTACTACTATTTTATGACGTTAAAATGAGATTGATAAAATAAAATAAAGATATTTTTATATAAATAAATTAATAAAATAATAATTAATAGAAAATCGCATTAGTTCTTATGAAAAATTAACATCTGAACAAAAAATTAATAATAAAAAATTATTTATTTTAATAACGTGTTTTTTTTTATGATTAAAGGGAAAAAAAACGTATGGCTTCAAACAAAAAAAATAATATGGTTGGTTCTGTTTATATGAATATACAGTCTTGTATTACTCTGACTGTTCAACAAGAAAAGTCAATATATAAATAAGCAAAGTAGTATTGTCTTTTTATTTTTATGCGTGAGCATAAGGAATCCAACTCTTGTTATTGTATTTTGCGATTTGATATTAATTAATTATAATAAAAAATTTCATTTTCTCATAGTATTATATTTTTATTTTTGTGTTAATATAATATTTATTCTTGTTATTTTTATTTTTTTTTAAATATTTATCTACTATAAATATATAATAATTATTATTAATTTGCAGTATCAATTCAGCTAGATATGTATTTTACTTACATGTTATATTATATATTAAATGCTACTATTTCATGATGTTGAAATGAGATTAATAAAATAAAATTAAGACAATTATGTGTGATTATGTTCTATTATTATTATTATTATTATTACTGTATTTTATATAAATAAATTGATGACATAATAACTAGTGAAAGACTACAGTAACTATGTTTAGTTGTTATGTAACTTTTAGTTTGAATTTTTTATATTATTATAAATAAAAAAACTGGTCCATGGTGGTTCTTGCACTCAAATATTCACAAATTAAAGGTTAGTAAAAAGAGTGTTATTCTTTTATTATGGTGTTCTTCTCATTTTTCATTTAGTGCTTAAGCAAATTTGTTAAGCTCTCATTGAAGTCTTCTAATTTTATTTATATATATATAAAACTTGACAACTTGCACAATTTTTTAATATTAGCCAGTCTGTCATTTCTTTGTCTTGTATTTTTTATGGTCTATATTATGAAATTTTAGACTTCTCTTATGTTATGCTGTTTGTTTGTTTTATGATAAGAGACATAGTTTGTAACATTTTAACGCTAATTTAAATTAATTAATTTGATGTATTTTAAAATTTGTATAAATATGTCAATGATGCTAGTTGGGACAATTTCTTTTTTATTTTTACTTTTTTCCCTTGTAAATTGAAGAGTGACTCAATTTGGATATGATAGAATATAAATAGAACTTTAAATGCGAGAATATTTTTATAATATTTTACTAGTCTTAAAAAGTATTTGTAATATGAAGCTCCTGTTATTCTTTCTTATTAGTTATTATAAAATCTATTTAATGCTGATCACATTATACTATAATAGCATAAGCATTATCAGTATCGTTAAAAATATAACAAATAAATAGAATCCTTATTTCTTGGACCCCAAAGATTGATTAAGTTCAATTTATTTTCTACTACTCTGAAAAGTTATTTTCAATGTTTGTTATGGTAAGAGAAAAGAGCTTCAAGGTCTTTTATATATATATATATATATATATATATATATATATTGTTGGGAGCTACAAGCTTAATATAGTTGCAATATAATAGTATAATATAATTTTTTTAAAACATAATTGTTGTTATCGTGTTTTATATAAAATCAAATTAATGTTTATTTGAAATGATTTAGTATTATTTATTTAAAATAATTGTATGTATATTATTGTAATTAAAATTTTTATTAATCAAATTATTAATATTTAAAAGATTATAAATTATTAATAAAAATAATTTTAAATTTTTAAAGACAATAATAAAAGTTAGTAAATCAATAAAAAAATTAATTTTAGTGACCCTTTAATTGCCATTAATATTTATTATAAATTAAGGTTTTTAGCAATAATAAATTAAATTTTTACCAACATTTTTTATAATAGTTAATAAAACTTTTAATAACATTAAATACAACAACAAATAATTTTTTGTTGGTAAAATTTTTGAATATCTATTTTTACTATTACTAAACATTGTAAAAATAAGAGTTAAAAATTATTTTTATTATAGTGAAATATCATAAGTACAAATATATTTATCAATAAAACAAATATGTCATTATCAAAAATAAAAAAAGATGGGGTGGCTTATACTACTCTAAACTTACTAATTGCAGGATATATTTAAATACACTTATTAAATAAATAAACGCATTTCAACTGTTATCTCAAGCCAACTAACGGTACGTAGTAATTAGTCAAACGGAGAAACATTTTGTTTAATTTTCAAAAAACAAAGTCCACCACAACAAACAGTTGTAAATTGTTTAAAAATTATTTTATAATAATTAAATTATCAACAAATATTTTAATATTTTCAGTTTCAAATACTTGTTTAGAAATTTAAAAAAGTTACTATATTAATTATTTTATAAAAATATTAAATATAAAAAATAATATAATTTTTTGAAATTATTCGTGGAAATAAGAAAAAATAACAAATTAAAAAATGTCTAATATAAACCATATACATCTTCAATATGTAATATAATATTAACTATATAATTATTATAAATATAGCCCTTTTTTTCTTTCGCTACCAATATTACGCTGTGCAAACATTTATTGACTCTTCTTATCCTTGATTTTCAAATAACAATAAACAAAGTTTTAGAAATTTAAAAGATACTTTGCATAAGTAAATAAATTAAAATTTATTATTTTGTTTAACAATGAAAGGTACGCACATGTTACATTTTCTAAGATTAAAATTAACTATATCTTTTGACAAAGCAAGTCTAAATTCACTATCTTCGGTTGAATAAGACCATTCATGGTTCGATCTTTGAATTTTTTGAAGACTATAATGAAAAATTATGAGTAAACATACTCCCAATGATTATAATCAAGCATCAATATTGTTGCAAATTTTCATTTTGCAAAATGATGCCAAGAAGTCATGTTTCTAATACTCAATACGATTTTTTAAACGCCAATAACAAAAAGATTATTTCATTTTGTTAATTGTTCAAACTCCACTCGTAGCTCAGTTACTTCGTCTACGTACGCATTATGCATGTATGTACAAGTCACGAGATACGCACTTTTACCTCCAATTTCCCCATTCTACCTTTATATAGATTATTTCAATAATTTTTATATTGTTATGTTCTTGAAACGAAAGAAATAAAGTTATATTTTATTATTATCACTAATTTTTAATCAACTTTTAATTAATTACTTCTTGAAAATTATTAAAGCACATTTCATTTTAAATAGTTTTGGATTTTTTATAAAATCCTTTTTATTGATTCTTATTAATTAATTAAAAATATATGATATATTGTTAATATTTTTATCATATCAAATGGATTCATATTTTAGTTAATTCTATTTTTATAAAAATATTAAAAGATTGTTGAAAAACATTATAGAAAGATACTCTCCTTTTTATTTTAAATCATTGGCATTTGAAAGTTACTTTGAGCCTCATTCAACAAATAGAAAGGTTATTTTCAACCTCGATTAATATTAGCCAAGTGAACTCGTCTAAGGGGACAAAATATTGTTTTATTTTTATTCATAAAATTCAAATTCAAATCTATTTGTTAAAGGAAGCCAAAGTCTATCTCTTTTACTATACCACACCATACTTTATAAATAAGAAAGAGAGCATATGAAAGAGTATTTTGAATTTACGTTAGTTTTTAAATTGACTTATGAGACTTTTATGAAATTATTTATCTTATTTAAATAACGTTTTTATGAAGCTTATTTCGATAGTTTAAAATTTAAGTTTATAAGATAAGATATTGATTTAATACATGAGCACTTAACTAAAATGTGTTTAACAACATACATCCCAGTTACCAAAATGTTTATTTACTTTATCAAGATAAGTTAATTCAGCACGAAATTAAGTAATTCATTATTTTCAGGGGCACTGTGATTTTCATTGCTGAGTATTACGCAGATGTAACACATACATTTCATATTCCTTCAAGTTCTCATCACTGTAATGTAGACAGCTAGCACACGTTAATTTAACAAGGGCATGCGCTCATAAATGTGCAGTATTGAGGTTCAGAGGGTGACCGATTAATCTAAATGAAAATGCCACTAACGAATTTGTTGGATTAATGCCCTAACAAGCCGCCGAAAACGAAAATGACATGACACCTTAAAGAACATGTAATGTTTTGTTTCTGCTAATCATGCACAATTGTTTTCTCAGCACGCTTGCATCATTCGTATAAAACGTTGTCGTTAATTGATGATTGAAAAGAAAATTTGTTAGGGGAGGCATTGTAGAGGATAAGGTCCCAACGGAATTTTTTAATGAAGTAATGGACACTGGACACAGAAGTAATGTATGGTCTATTTTTCGAATTTTTCTTTCTTAAAATTAAGCTTCTTCAATTAAATTTTATAAAAAAATTATTCGTTTGATTATACTTTTGTTTTGTTATTGTGATTAAACTAAGATTTAACTCTTTATATACGTTAACATGTGTATTAAGACAACACACAAAGCTTATCCAAATCCCAGTATCTCGCTCGCACACACACACAATGAAAAAACAAAACAGGCACGATAAAGATTATCCAAATGTCAATATACCACACAAATAAAGATTTTCCAATGGTCCATAATATCACACACACAAATAAAACTAAGATTATCAAAATTTCATTATCAAGTTTACAAATACTCATTTATACCCATACTAAGTAGCCATTGAGGTTTTGACGATGAATTATTTTAAAAGCTTAAGTTATTGATTTTTAAACCGGTAGTACCAGAAATTTTATTAATTTATTAGTTTCTAAAATTGATGGTAGCAGTTAGCCTGGCTAAATATTTAGTTTGTCTCTCTCTTTCTTTTTTTTTAATAATTATTACAATCCACACATTTAAATTTACGTCATTTTGTGAATCGTTCAAACTCCACTCGTAGCTCAGTTACACTTAGTCTACGTACGCATTATGAATGTATGTACAGGTCACGAGATACGTACTTTAAGAGTCAAACTAAATTTAGGTGGTTAAATTAAAATAATAGTATTATTATACAATGATTTTTGATAAAACCTAAATGATTAAAATTGGTATTCTTAGATGTAAGCGATGGATTCACACTTTAATGAGAATACACTAACTTTCAACTAAGGCAATTGATGGAAAGCTTTATTCTTGCAACAGAACTCGACGAAGTAGTCTTACTCTTGCAGATACCCTGCCCAAAAGACAGGAAAGAAAAAAACGTTAAAATACAATAAAAATGCAATTCCACCCAATACAAGCCAACAAAGTAGTCGAAATTTCAATGCGGTTTTTGTTTTTTTAAAGAATTGTTCTTCAGCGAAGCTTCTAGTTAATTTAATTTCTTTTTTTAGTAAAGTCTGAAATTAATTAGATACAAAAGATGTACAAACTGATCATCTTGATGCTCAACAAAAAAGGAATATCCCAGATCAACTTAAAAAATTTACATAAAATCAAAGCAAATAAACCAAACTCAGTGTTGTCCATGAGTAAAACAACAATAATTAAACCTTATTTCATTAAGTAAAATCGGTTACATAAATTACACAACAAATTAACTTCAAATACTAATTTTTTTAAAATATTATTGATTATAAATCTCTTTTAATAATTTCTTCCAAAATTTTTCTTCATCTCTCTGGACATCTTTTCAGGAATTAAAACGGCATGTATGTGTCCAAGGGAAAAATTAAAGAGTGGAGATTAGAATAAATATCTTACTGATTACAAACAACTTATTATACCACGATCCCCAATTGATTGGTATAGGCATAGCAAGCAAGCTAGCTCTCACATAATGGAGCAAGTATTATCAGGGCATGGATCATAAACCACTTGGCAAGGATAGGGGTTACATGGTGGATAATAGGGCACATAGCACTTGGAACAGGTGCACCATGGAGGACACGGACGGAAGCACGGTGAAGGAGGTTTACAACCATGGCACTTGAAACTCAGACAATTATGGCATGGTTTACACTCACCATGGCACTTGGGACTCTCACACTTGACACAACTGACAACACACTTGCCATCACACTTGGAATTTTGGCACTTTGAGCATTTGTCACACTTACCATGGCAAGTGGAAATGTGGCACTTGTTACAAGGCTCACAAGGTGGTGGAGGACACTTCACAGCACAACATTCTTTTTTCTTCTTTTCTTCTTCTTCCTTCTTCTTCTTTTCTTCTTCCTTCTTCTTCTTTTCTGCTTCTTCTTTTTTCTTCTTTTCTTCAGCTGCTTTTTTCAGATCTTCCACACTCAGAATTATGACAGTGCGGAACTTCTTCTTCAGCAAGTTAGCCAAACAAACCATGTCCACATCATCACCCGTCACTGCCACACGATCCTTTTCATCACCTTCTAGTGACACTGCAGTCACACCTGTTGGTTTTGGCCATCACTCAACAAAAATTAAAATGCATCAAGAGGATTGCAATTATAATCATTTATTTAATTAAAACCATGAGCAATTGAAATTTTAATGACTTCATAATCATAAGATCGAAATTGTTCATGTTTTATAAATAGTATTTTTGTTATATTATTATCTGATTTCTTGTATTTTAACAATTTTAATAGGTGTTTTTGTAATGGATGTAAAATGTAAAAGGGATTGGTATGTTCACCTGGCACCTCTGCAGCAATTTTCAGAGCTTTGTTTCTGCATTTGTCGCAGTCCATTTGCAACTTGATTATTATTTTTTGCTGTGTTTGTTAGACATGTTACACGTGTCACATAACTTATGTGTAGCTTCACGAGAAATTTATCAAAGACAAAAAAGGGAGAGGAAAGAAAAACTCAAAACATTTAGTTTAGCTTATATAGGTGAACGGATCAAACCTTCATGATTGCTTAGTTGAAACAATTGGCTATTCCCTGCTCTTGCAATCAGAAACAAACTCAAAGGGGTGTTTGTCTTGTGCTTTGGAGTTGAGCGATCACATATTTGTTTATATAACAAATAGTAGAGTACTCTACGTCATGGTTGACTTGAGTGTGCTGGCTGACATAGACGGATAAGCTAATTGTATTAGGATTGGCGTTTGTCACTGAAAGTCGCGTTTGAATTATGCCAAATCAAGTTGTTTCATGTCTTATTCCATTATCAGGTTTGGTTGGTTTTGTATATCACGTTAGAGGTGCCTTTGCATTCAATATATTATTACTTTCTGTTAAAATTACTCGTAAGATAATGACATTTAAATATAAAACATTTTATTTTAAATTCATTTGCTAACAAAAAATCATTTTATAAAATAAAGTTAATCTAAAGTAAGGTTTTTAAATATCCACCTAATATAGACTTGACTGTCGGTTCGAAGGTTTCACCAAATGTATATGGAAAGGAAAAGGAAAATCGAATATTAAATTAATGAAAATTGTGTTAGGTAATATGATTGGTTAAATTAAGTCACATAGATGTACGAAGTATAACTTGAGTATTCCCTTGGGAAATTATGACACTGATTAGCAGCTATCTATATCCATTGCCTGTCTTTGTAACGAAGAAATAACAACCTAATGAAATAATAATAATTAGGAAAATTTCAATATTTTAATAACGTATTTTTTTAATTAAAGGAATAAAAAAAACTTATGGCTTCAAACAAAAGAAAAAAAATAATACAATATGGTGGGTTCTGTTTATATGGATATATAGTATTGTATTACTTTGACTGATCAACTAGAAAAGTCAATATACAAATAACAAAAATGGTATTGTCTTCTAATTATTTGTACGTGAGTAGAAGGAATCCGACTGTTGTTATTGTAGTGTTTGATTTGATAACATTAATTTAGGATAATCAATTTCTTAGTCTTTATTAAATACATATTTATGTTTACTAATAAATAAAATATCGTACTTAAATATTAATGATTTTAAATAAATATCATTAGTATAAATATATTTATCAATAAAACAAAGATGTCATTATCATAAAAAAAAAATGGGCCGGCTTATATATATTACTCTAAACTTGCTAATTTCAGGATATAATTAAATACACTTATTAAATAAATAAATGCATTTCAGCTGTGTATTGGCTTAATTTTGTTAATCAAGCCAACTAACGGTACGTAATAATCAGTAAACGGACAAACATTTTGTTTAATTTTCAAAAAACAAATCCATTACAACAACCAGTTGTAACTTGTTTAAAAATTATTTTATAATAATTAAAAATTATCAACTAAATATTTTGAGTTTCAAATGCAAATTTAAAAGTTAATATATTAATTAATTATTTTATAAAAATATTAAATAAAAAATAATATATATTTTTGGAATTATTTGTGGAAATAAGAAAAAATAACATTAAAAAATGTATAATATAAACTATATATACATCTTTAATATGTAATATAATATTAACTATATAATTATTATATAATATGTTTTTGCCGACGCAATACTGAAATTTTTCAACAACTGGGAAAGATGGTGCCAGAGGCAAAACGTAGTATACAAACAAGAAAAAAAAATGTCACCAAACAAATCAGCTCCAATGGTGCGCTATTTTTGTTCTACTCTTGCTGTGAAAAACATTACTAAAACACCTAAATTTGAATTATAAACATGTGTTGTCATCAATAAGTATTTACACTTTCTTCTTACAAATATCTTTCTTTAAATCTGCATAACCTATAGTTTTTTTTTCCCTACCAATATCACGCTGTGCAAACATTTAGTGACTCTTCTTTATCCTTGATTTTCAAAACAATGAACAGTTTGAGAAATTAAGAAGATACTTTGCTTAAGTAAATAAATTAAAATTCATTGTTTCATTTTACAACGAAAGGTTAACTTTTAAAGCACACGTTACATTTTCGAAGATTAAATCTGTTGACAAAGCATGTCTAAATTAACTATCTTCCGTTAAATAAAACCATGCATGATCCGATGTTTTAATTTTTTGAAGACTAATGAAAAATTATGTGTAAACATACTCCCAAAGATTATAATCAAACATCAATATTGTTGCAAATTTTCATTTTGCAAAATGATACCAATAAGAAGTGATGTTTCTAATACTTTACAATTATTTAAACGTCAACAACATGGTTGGATTCTTGGTCAAAGGGTTATCTTATAATCAGAAAACTTAAGGAACATGAAAGTGCTGCACTCTCCAATGGGGAAACTTTGGTCACATTTAAGCCCATCTCCTCACTTGTTATTGTAACCTGGGTAAAGATGTTGATAAAACTCAACTTCTCCAACTAACACTAAATCCCCATTTATTGCCAACTCCTTGATGTTCCAGTTACTGAAAGGATGCGATGTCTTGTGGGTAATATGAATTTGTCCACATGAAGAAAGCAGATACTTAGCATTGCTCAGAAATCCACTCACTAATTTCTTGTGAAGCCTGCGTTTAATTTGAACTAGTTAAACATTTATCATTTTTAATTTCTTAATAAGTATTTTTGACAAGTGTCTTAGTATTCATATATATGAATGAAAGTTTAAACATTCAATAGAGTTACGTACACATTTTTTACATAACTTACCTAATCTGGTAATCATCAATTTCACGACCAATGAAGCCAGCATGGGGGAAATTATAAATTACTCGATCAAAAACTTGGTTTTTGAGAAGTGGATGTTGGGTCATTGTATGGACATCAACTTCGTGCACAATGGTGCACCCAAGAGCCTCAAGTTCAGTCAAGTTACTTAATGCCCTTGCATACTTGATCCCTAAAGACACTTTAGATTTTGACACATTCAAACATTGAAATAAAAAAATAAAAAAAATAGATGAAGTTAGCAAAATATATTATCACTGTTGAAAAAGATTAAGTGATTTTAATTGTTCTTCCAACCGAATCAATTAACGATAACAAAGTTGCAAGCATGATATGTGTAATGTGTCAATTTTATTATTAGTTCAAAACATACCTCTAGAATCCAGAGAAGTAGCAATCATGTTCCCAGCTGTGCCAAATGCATTAGCCAAACAGAGTGAAAAAGAGAAATCTCCCTCTCCCACTAGAAGAATCTTATGAGAGCTAAGGTAATGAGTTATTCTTTTCTCTTCCATTAGATACTCTAAGTCAAAGCTCAAATGGATTCACTTATACTCAAATGTGGAAAGATAAGCAATTCTGAGAATGGATATATAAGCACATGACGGTATCTGGAGAAATTCCCACAAATTAAAGTTTTTTTTGAGAAACTGAATCAATTAATATTATCCACACATTTTTCAATTTTGGACTTTTAATTTATGCCCAATCATTGAACATAATATAGCACGGTGTTTGTTTGAAAATTGAGAAGCTTTTCACTTCATCTTCTAGGAAAATTCAAGATTAGTGAACGGGTGGAAATGGAACGTTGTACCCAATCAGTGGAAAAGTAATGGTTATCAGTGATAATTACATCTAAATTCAACATTTATAATCAACTTATTTATAATGGATAAAAGTTAAAATTGTGTATTACCATTCCAAACGTTTAGTCATATATTTCTTATTTAAGGTTTTATAATAATAATAGTAATAATTTAATCACCTAATAAATTATAAAAAAATTTGTTCACTAAATAGTTTGAAGTTGAGTATATAAAAAAACTAAAATAAAATAATTGAAGATCAATAAATGCTTAATTTGAGTAAATGTTTGCACTAATTTGAGCACTTAATTACTTCAAAGTTATGAATTTAAATGTCAATTTTCTTTTTATTTGTAAAATTTAAGTTAGTTAGCTTAGTTAATTTAAAAATTAAGATAAAGTTTTATTTTAATTCTCTTTTTGTTAATTTACTAATTTTCAAGAGCTCATGGAGGAGGAAGACAAATAACATTTAAATCCTTTCATGGTTAAGTGGCCGCCTACTTTTCTCGTTTCCAGAAGAATAAATGTCTTCAAATCTTTGTAAATACTTGTGACATATCCTTGTGGGAGGGTTCGGATCCGTATCCTATAGCGATAAACACCTACTAGGGCGATGGGACCGATCACTCAGACTTAGTGTTTTTAGGGGAAAAGGTTAAGGGGGTTGACACCTTTTATGTATACGAGTATATGTTCAGGGAGTTAGGTGTTAGGCTCCCTTTTGACGACTTCCAAATGGGAGTGTTAAGGATGTTGAAGGTTGCACCTACTCAACTGCATCCGAATAGGTGGGCGGCCATGCAAGCGTTCCGGGTCCTTTGTAAATTTCATTACATAGAACCTAAGGTAGGCTTATTTTTGCATTTTTTTTATACGCATCCGTCTGATAAGGCGAAGTGGGTGTCTTTAATAAGACAGGTTGATTTGCCCCTATTCAAACCTTATACTGCGTCCTTTAAGGGTTTCAAAATTGGTTACTTTAAGGTAACCGTGAACCCTATAGGTAAGAAATATTTTTTTGACAAGGAAAACCGACCCTTCTTTCCTTTCCACTAGACCTAGGTACCTCGTTGATATGAGTTTATCACGAGGAAATGTTGTCGGCTGAGAAATTGTCGTCTCTGGAGTATATAAACACTCTACCTAGGGAGCTTCTTGCCTGCTCCTTAGTTCTGTTGTTGAAGTCCCCCCAACCCTGGGTGGATCTGGCTAGCATGTTTCATATTTTTGCTTTTGTTTAGCTTGAACATTGGGTTATATTAACTATACCCGTTTGTATTGTAGGATTAATGGCACAAAGAGGAGTCGGATTGGGGTATCGACATGGTCTTAAGCTGAAGGCTCCTGAAGGTACTCCGGTTCATGTCCACCGACACCCTATAATAGATCAGTTGCCCCCAGTGACTGAAGCTCGCTCTACTCCTCAAGACCCTGCCCTTGTTGAAGGTCGATCAAAGAAAAGAAAAGTCAAAGGCAAGGAGAAGGAGTCAAAGAAGGAGAAGAGACCCAAGCATGCTCGTGATGCTGGGTCAAGTGGTCGGGTAAGCTTCTCTGCTCCCACCGTCATGCCGACTAACATAATCTTGGAATCGTTCTTTGCTAAAGGTATTCGGGTCAACCAAATGGTGTGTCCAGATTCCTTATCAGAGTCGGCATGAGTCTTGATAAATAATCAAACCCACAGGACTTGCTGGCAGTGGTATTACGAGTTTCAGGCATGGGCGATGGCGATGGTACACAGCTTTGCATTGGAACCCCTGCAAGAGCTAGAAAGGGTCCAAGGCCGACTCGTCTTCGCCGAACAGGATCTGGCTCAAAGTGAAGAGGTTTGATCAAGCTTAGTTGAGACCAATAAGTCACTAGAGGAAGAGGTGGCTCAGCTGAAAGAGCACTTCTATAGCATGGGTAACCGGCTACGAGCTGCCGAGGAGGCGCTAGAGGTGAGAAATTCTGAACTTAAGGTAAAGAGCTCGAAATTGGAGGCGAAGGGCTCGGAATTGGACCAGGAGAAGCAAAGGTCTGAAACCGAGCTGAGGGCTCTGATCGACAAGTGTAATATAAAAATTGTTGCAGAGCACGAAGCCGGTTTCAATCATGTTGTCCATCAAGCTGTGGAGTTCTGCTAGATCTCCTCAGGCTCCAATTTTGATCTAACACGGGACTTCTTTGGGGGGAAGTTCCTACCATATGATGAGGTGGAGGAGGAGGTGAAACCCGACGCCTTTACACCAAGCCAACATAGGAACCCGGCTGAAGATGATGCCCCGCTCTGCTAGGGCAACGAAGGGGGGATATAACGAATTTTTTTTTTTGGTACCAAGGGGTCGATAGTGCCTAATTTTTTGTACTGCTCATCATTCAATAAATATCAACATTTTCTGAAACTGCTTTGTATTGTTAGCCGACTAGTAATATTTTTATGAGTAACACTGACGGCAACCCACTGTATAATTGATTAACTGTAATAACGATTTCTTCTAATAATTAATCCTTGACCGAGTAGGGGTAGGCAATAAGGTATATAAGAAGTACTTGGGTTTTTAATAAGTGATTCATTCTTGGCCAAGTAGAAATACTTGGGAGGAAATTTTAGTAAGTATTCATCCTTAACTGAGTAGGGGTACTCGGGAGGGAGGTACTTGAGAGGGAATGTTAATAAGTGATTCAACCTTGACCGACTAGGGGTACTCGGGAGGGAATTAATTAATTCAACCTTGGCCAACTAGAAATACTTGGGAGGGAATTTTAACAAGTTATTCATCCTTGACCGAGTAGGGGTACTCGGGAAGGAATTAATTAATTCAATCTTGGCCAAGTAGAAGTACTTCGGAGGGAATTTTGACAAATGATTCATCCTAGACCGAATAGGGGTACTCTAGAGGAAATTAATTAATTCAACCTTGGCCAAGTAGGAATACTTGGGAGGAAATTTTAATGAGTTATTCATCCTTGGCCGAGTAGGGGTAATCGGGAGAGAATTAATTAATTCAACCTTTGCCAAGTAGGAATACTTGGGAGGAAATTTTGGCAAGTGATTCATCCTAGACCGAGTAGGGGTACTAGGGAGGGAATTAATTAATTTAACTTTAGCCAAGTAGAAATACTTGGGAGGGAATTTTGGCAAGTGATTCATCCTAGACTGAGTAGGGGTAATCGGGAGGGAAATAAAAATTATGAGAATAAAAAATAACTGAATAGCTTCAGAAGAGATTTTGTTGATAACATGTGCCTCGTTAAAAACCTTCCCAGGAAAACCCTTTTTCACTCTTTTTTAAGAGGACAAAACTTGAGTGAGGAAAAGAGTGCACCGATTACAAATTATTACAAGTATTTAACTAAAGTAATGTTTTAAATGCGTGACGTTCCAAGTCCTCGGTATTAGCTTTCCTTCAAGTGTCTCCAGCTTGTATGCCTCATTATCAAGGCACGCCGCTACCCGGAAGGGTTCTTCCCAGTTTGCAGCTAACTTGCCTTCTCGTCAGTCCCGTTGTGCCTCCCCTGTTACTCGCTATACTAAGTCATTTACATAAAATTGTCTTGGGTTGACTTTGGAGTTGAGCTTTCTTGCCATCATCTTTTTGCTAGCCTTGGTTACTATGGCTGCTTGACCGACTTCGTCCAGTAAATCCAAGTTGACAGCTAGGGATTCGTCATTGGCCAATTCCTCGAAGTTTTGCCCTCGAAATGATGGTTCTCCAATCTCGACTGGCACCATGGCATCAATGCCATATGTGAGCTAAAATGGGGTCTCTTTTGTAGTCGTTTGGGGCATACACCGATAAGCCCATAAGATCTCGTGCAACTTCTCTGCCCATTCTCCTTTTGCCGAACCCAATTTTTGTTTGAGTTCATGTAAGATGACTTTGTTGGCAGCCTCGGCCTGACCATTAGTCTGGGAATGTTTGATGTGAAGCCCTTCCAAAAATTCATTAAACCGGCGATGTGTGAACTGTAGCCTGTTATATGTAATTAAGGCATGAGAAAAACCGAAACGTGTAATAATATTTTTTCAGGTGAACTTCTAGACATTATTGGCCGTGATGGTAGCGAGTGGTTCGGCTTCAATCCACTTGGTGAAGTAATCTACGACAACAATTAGGAGTTTACATTGCCTTTTTGCCAAGGGAAAAGGACCGAGAAGGTCCATTTCCCAAATAGCAAAGGGTCAGGGAGACCTAATAGGGTGAAGGGTGTCGGCGTGTTAATATAAATGAGGACCGTGTTGTTGATAAGGATGCATTTCTTCACAAATGTTTGGTAATCTTGAGCGAGTATCAGCCAAAAGTATCCGGCTCTAAGTATCTTAGCGGCCATGGTGCGTCCACCCGAATGGGTACCACAGATACCTTCATGAATTTCTCTCATGACATAGCTAGCTTTATCTTCATTGAGACATTTAAGCATAGGCGTTGAAATTCTTCTTCTGTATAATTCATTGCCTAGAATGAGGTACTTAGCTGCATGCATTCTTATTTTCTTAGCCGAAGCTGGATCTTTTGATAAGCTGTTGCTGGTGAGGTATTGAATAATTGGAGTCATCCAATTTTGAGGCATATTTTCTATGTCCATGCACTCTTGTTTCGCGATACTAGGTTGAGGGATTTCTTGATGAATTACACTTTGTAATTGCCCAGGTTTCCTTTGACTAGCAAGTCTGGCAAGCCTATCGGCTTGTTCGTTCATGGTCATTGGTGTGTGTTGAACATGTACTTCGTCAAATTCATCTTTTATATTGTTAAATTCTTGATAATATTGGAGTATAATGGAATCCTTCACTTTATATATTCCATTAACCTGATCGGCCACTATCTTTGAATCGCTCCAGCAAGTGATGCGTTTTACGCCAATATCTTTTGCCAATCTGAGACCCGCTAGTAGAGCTTCATACTCAGCTTGATTGTTGGAGGCGTTGAATCCAAACCGAATAAATTGTTCAATAGTTACGACGTTTGGTCCTTCAAGTATAATTCATGCTCCACTACTGCTCAATGAATTTTTATATACTTGTGATAGCTTTGTAATAGGCCTAATTAGTTGTGAATTGTGCTTAATTGTATTGTTTTGGCTGAGTTTTATATTATTGGGCTTAATTGTTAAACTTTGTTAATTTTCAGATTTTAGAGCCTTTTGACCTTTGCTTATTGTGTTATCTCGGGCTATAGTTATCAGATTTAAGTGATTGCAATTGCATTTGAAAGCTAAGAGATGGGTCTACAACACTCATGGAGATTTAAAGGCTGAATCATAGCATCCAGAAACAGAATTACACCAAAACTGGACTGGAAGACGCAATTCGTGGATTTTGGACCTTAGTGCAGTGTTTGGGTTATATCTCGGCCCACAGATGCCCAATTTGACTCATTCCAGTGGCATTTGAAAGATAACATCCGTGGCTTGAATGGCATATCAATTACAAATTATAACGACATGCTTCTTGGGTGAATTATAAGGAGGAAGTTATGGTTTGTTGCTGGAGATTTGAAAAGTCAGATTTGAATAAAAGATTGGGAGTTTTTTTTAAGGGCCATTTTTTTTTACTTGGAGACTCATTTTTTTTAATAGAGATTTTCTTTTTGTGAGCTTCCATCCATGGAGGAGTAGTTTCGTTTATCTAGTTCAAGGATCAACGGAATGCAACATTCATGAGAATCGGTTTGTAGATTTTATATTTGAATTCGGGTTTCCTAGTTTCTTGTTTCTCTCCATTTTGATTAATATCATGAACTAAAGGTTTTTGTTTGATTTATTTTTTAGAGGTAATTCAATTCATTGTTTTGTTTCGGTTGAAGTACATGAATTGATTTTTGGAAATTAAAGTTAATTAAGTGGTTCAGAAAGTTAACATGTTCGATTAGATTTTTAGAGCTTTCTAAGTTTAATTGAATTTGTGTTAATCAAACGTATAAAGGTTTTTGTGTGATCGCTTAATTTAATTTAAGGTCTCAGTTGAATCTAGTCTTTAACCACCGAATTTGAATAATATGTATTTTGGGATTCTGTGATTGAATGTTTGCTTATTCCTTCTTGATTCTTGAATTAGGTGTTTTTCCAATTGATTTGATCCTCTCAACTTTGACTCTGTTTTATTGATTCTATATCACCCCCAGTCCTACATACTCTCCAAATAGATTAATTCGTCTATGTGATCCTTTGGAAAATAATCCTCGTTGCTTGCCTCGTGTTATAGTAATTAGGTTTAAATTTGACAAATGTACGACCTCGTGCCAACTACCCAGTCGGTTTGATGATCCATCAACATGCAGGTTTCACATGTCAGAGCTGATGTATCTCTGGGTTGTGAACTCATTGACGAAGTCTGCAAGGATTTGAGCTTTAAGAGGGCGTCAGTTTTCAAAATGGATATCAAATTGGGACAACTCAATTGTCCATGTTACCAACCGACCAGCCAATTCTGGTTTTCTCAAAACTTTAGCCATTGGGCAATCTGTACATACTACCACCCGATGGCTTTGTAAGTAATGTCTTAACCAACGAGTTGTGTGGACTAGGGCCAGCACTACCTTTTCCATTAACTGATAGCGTGATTCGGGGCCTTGAAGTGTTCGGCTAATGAAGTATACAGGAGTCAGTTCAGGTGTTTCTTGTAGTAAGACCAAACTGATGACAATATCTGACACGGCCAAGTAAATAATCATATCCTTTTTTGGCTTCGGCTTGGTCAACATAGGCGGTGCCGCTAACATATTTTTTTATTTGATGAAGGTCGGTTCACATTCGTCAGTCCAGACAAACTTTTTGGATTTTTTAAGTAGGTCAATGAAAGGCCAAGACCTGTCTGCCATTATAGGTAAAAATCTGGCAAGAGCAGCAATACGACCAGCAAGTCTTTGGACCTCCTTAACATTCTGGGGACTGGTCATTTCAATTATGGCCTAACACTTGTCAGGGTTCGCCTGGATTTCCCTTTCAGATAACATAAACCCCAAAAACTTGCCACTGGCGACCCCGAACATACACTTTTCGGGGTTAAATTGCATCTCATGTTTCCTGACTTCCCCGAATACCTCCTTTAAATGAGCAAGATGTTGTTCCAATGTAGTAGATTTAACCACCATGTCGTCTACATACACTTCCATTCATTTTCTCACTTGTCTTTCAAAAATTTTATTCATCAGCCTCTGATACGTTACCCTTGCATTCTTTAAGCCGAATGACATTACTTGATAACAGAAATTTGCTTAGTCCATGATGAATGCCGTCTTTTCTTCATCTGGGAGATACATCCAGATCTGATTATACCCAAAGTAAGCATCCAAAAAACTGAGTATCCTGTGGCCGGCTGCATCGTCCACCAGGGTATCAATATTTGGTAAAGGATATATGTCTTTTGGGCATGCCTTGTTGAGGTCCGTGAAGTTTGTGCACATTTGCCATTTACCATTTGCTTTTTTAACCATGACCACATTGGCCAACCAAGTGGAATATCTGACCTCTCAAATAAAACTGGCCTGCAGCAACTTACTAGTTTCCTCCTTCACTGCCTTCGCTCTGTCGCCGCCAATTTTCCTCTTCTTCTGTGCTATCGGTTTGGCCCCCTTATAAACCGATAAGTGATGACAAAGAAATGCAGGGTCGATGCCCGGCATGTCAGAAGCCGACCAGGCAAACAAATCAGCGTTACGTTGTAACATTTTCTAAAAGTCTTGCCTCTCTTATACAGATAGACCGATCCCTAGATAAGTAACCTGTTCAGGCTTCGGTCCCAGCTAGAATGGTTGCTTATTTTCGTTGGGTTCAACCCGACACCCCTCATCTAGCCTAGGATCCAGCTCAATTTCCAAGGCCGTCCCAGACCGAGGGAATACAATATTGACATTTCGTGTACAGTCTTGAATTGGTTTGAGGCGTAGGCTTGCAAAATAGCATTCCTTCGCTGTCTTTTGGCCAGCATGGATTGTAACAATTCGGCCCATTTCTGACGAAAATTTTATAGCCAAGCGAGGAGTAGACACTATGGCCTTCAACTTGTTAAGGGATGGTCTATCAAGTAGTATATTGTACGAGGTATTCGCGTGTATTACCAGGTAAGTGACCTTGATACGTTTTTCCTCATGTTCTGACCCGAATAAGGTATAAAGGAAAATACATCCCCGGGTCTCTACTCGTTCCCTCGAGAAACTGACCCGGGGTTCTTGATATTCTTCGAGTTCTTCTTCTGGTATGTCCAGCTGCTTGAACGTATTCCAGTATAGGATGTCGGCCGAGCTACCTTGATCAATTAGTATTTTCCGGATAGTGCAATTAAGGATGTCCATATTTATTACCATAGGATCATCTTGTACTAGATCTACTCTCTAAAAGTCTTCGTCCGTAAATGTAATGGGTGGTACCTGGATTCTACTACCCAATGACACATTGTTGACGGAGCATACTTGCCTCAAATGTCTTTTTCTAGCCGAATGGGTGGGTCCTCCACCTGCAAACCCACCTGTAATGGTATTAATAACCTTCTTAGGATACTTCTCACGTTCATCGTATCGTGTAGTGGGAGGTTCCCTTGACCGACTTCGTTGCCTTTCGGGTTGCTTATTATGGTATCTGCTTGATGAATCGGGGTAGGGATCTCTCCCCCTTTCGGCATGACTGGTGGGGTTTGTCTGCACAAATCCTCTAAGGTACCCGTCCTTGATCAAATCTTCAATTTTATCTTTCAAGGTCGTGCACTCCTCTGTCGTATGGCCCCTATTGCGATGGTACTGACAAGATTTGCTCTTATCTGTCCGAGGAGGGTATTAGCGCGCCTGGGTATACTCAAGATTTTTGTTGCCAAGGCCTGATAAAGTACCCTAAACTGGTTAGTGTTGAGTGTAGTGTAGAAGGGATATTTGTGCCCCCTAAGCAGCATCTCAAGCTCATTTCTTCTTTCTTTGTTTTCCTGCCGAGATTTGAAAGCTTCTCTCTTATCTATATTTTTTGAATTGGACCCCTAGTCTGTCCGAACTTGATTTCGGTACTCGGCCAATTCCTCCATCCGCATATACTTTGCAGCCTGACTCCTCAATTCATCCAGATCAGCTGATGGTTTTTTGCATATGCTGTTAACAAAAGGACCTGACTTAAGGGCCGTTGTAAGGTGGTGCATTGCCATGGCTGATTCTAGATTATGGATTGAAAGGGTCACTTTGCCGAATCGTTCCATGAACGCTCGGAGTGATTCCCCTTTTTCCTAAAGAATGTTGACAAGTGCTAGGGATGTCAAGGGGTGAGGTCGACTTGTGGCAAACTGGAGGTTGAATCGTCTTGTAAGAGTTGCAAAAGAGTCGACAAATGAAGGGGAAAGTCGAGTGAACCGACTGAGAGCTGGTCCTCGAAGCGAGGTGGGGAAAATCCTGCACCATAAGGCGTCGTTTTTTGTATACAGGGCAACTTGGGTCATCAAAATATCCAAGTGTTCTCCTAGGTCAAACGTCCCATCATACTTTTCTAACGTTAAACCTCTCCAGTTATTAGGTAACTTGGCCTCCAAGATAAGCTGAGTAAAAGGGCTTCGACTCGGGCCGTCGCCCCGTTCAGTAAGGGTTTCAACTTGTAGAGTTCCCTTGGGTTTTTCTTGCAATGCCAAAGACTCTTCTTGCTCTTGAGCAGAAGGGGTAGTCTGAGAGGGTATATGGGTTTTGATTTCTTTTCTCAAGTCAGGTCTCAGCCTTGAGCAGTAAATACTATTGTTTAATTAAAAGTCTCCTTTTACCTGTACTTCTTACCTTTTTTTTATAAGAGATATTATGGGCTAATGGGCCTTATGGGTCAGCCCTAATCCTTATAATTAATTTATTAATTCTAATTAATTTATAATTATCATGCTTTGTGAGGTACTCGTCCCTCGTAGGCCGAGTAGGTATTTGATTTCCTCTTTCTATAAGTAAGACCGAGTAATGTCTTATCCAATACACAACTCATACACCTTTCTCCACTAAAAATATACTTTATTTCCTAGTTAATTCCACTTTTAATCCACAATCAAATTATAAATATTTAATTGTTTTAATTGAGAGTTTTATATAGGATAGTAGAAATTATTAATTTATCTATTAATCTTTGTAAATACAAAAAATTCTCTTTTATATTACATAAAAAATTTAGTATAATGGTCAAATCTTTAACAGAGATATTAATACATGTTTAAGTATTAATTATACTAATTAATCGACCTTATACTAATATATAAAATACACGTATAAATATATATATATATATATATATATGTAAGTTTTATTTTTATAATTAAGATTAAAAATAATCTTTTAATTAAATGTGACATTTTGTATTGATACTTTTATTTTTTTAATCATAATTAATTTTAGCATTAAAACAATCTTTTTACTACTACTTAATTAATGTCATAAAATTTAGACCAATTATCTAATTGACATATTAGCTAAGTAGATAAAATGTTCAACTACTAGAAGACTCATTCAACCAATATATTTAAATGTCATCAAATTTAATTTTCGTTATTTATTTCAAGATATGTAAATAAAAGATGTTTAAAATGATAGTTTTTTGTAATTTGTAAATTTGGTTAAAAAGGCCACACCACTCTGCCTGACTTTTTAAAATACAAGAGAACGTTACTTTTTCATCTTTCAAATTATGTTGTTAAAATATAAATATTTAATTGTAATTTTTTTATCTCCATATTGTAATTTATGTACAATTTTATTTTCTTTAGTTTTAATTACTCAGATTTAATTTTCCTAACTTTTTAACTGTTTAAATCAAGTATTTCACATTTAAATATTATTTAATAATTAATTAAAATATAAAATATTATTAATTTATATAAGTTAATAAAAATCATAAAATATTTAAATAAAAAATTAATAGCATACTAAAGTAAAAAAAATTGGTAATTAATCTATTTAATTGAGTTGGTTCTCTAGAGTTCTACTGCTAAAGGTCTTGAGGGTTAGTTAGCAAGACCCCAACACAAATAGTAGTAGTCTGCAAACATTTGAACATTTTGATAACATTTTCAAATAGGTTATTTTTATTTACCAATAATATGAATTAAAATATTTTATAAATATATTAAATTTAAGTTAATAATAAATATTTTGATGAATTTTACATCATTATGTTCTTGAAATGAAAAAAAAAAGTCACATTTTATCACTGTCACTAATTTTTACTCAACCTTCAATTGATTACTTCTTGAAAATTATTATAACACATTTCATTTTAAATAGTTTAGGGCTTTTATAAAATCTTTTTGTTGATTCTTATTAATTAATTAAAAACATATCATATATTTTTAACATATCAAATGGATTCATATTTTGTTAATTCTAATTTTATAAAAATATTAAAATATTATTGGAAAACATCATAGAAAGGTACTCTGCTTTTTATTTTAAATCATGGCATTTGAAAGTTACTTTCAGCCACATACAACAAAAAGAAAGGTTATTTTCAACCTCGATTAATATAAGCCAAATGAACTCATCTAAGGCGACAAAAATATTTATTATTTTTATTCATAAAATTCAAATTCAAATATGTTTGTTAAAGGATACCAAAGTCTATTTATCGTGAGTTTTTAAATTGACTAACGAGACTTTTATGAAATTGTTTATCTTATTTAAACAACGTTTTTATGAAACTTATTCCGATAATTTTAAAATTTAAATTTATAAAAAATAAGATATGAATTTAATACATGAGCACTTAACTAAAATGTTTAACCACATACATCCTAGTTAAAAGAAGGAAAATATTAACCTCGTTCCTAAACAGTGAAGATAAATAATCAATAAAAGTAAATACCTTTATAACTCTAATAGAATTCATATGTATTTTTTTATTAAAAAAATTATTTATGAATACTTTTTTAAATTTTTTTATTTATGAATATTTAAACTCA